GATAAATATTGTTTGATTCTTCTTATATGAGGTTCCTAGAGTAGCCCAAATTCATAGAAAGTTGTCAGGGACTAGAGATTGGGGGAAATGGGGAATTACTGTTTAGTGGGTCAGAGTTTCATGGGGAAGATGAAAAAGTTCTGGAGATGGTTGGTGGTGGTGGTTATACAACCACGTGAAAGTACTTTGTACATTGTAAAAGAGTCAAAATGGTAAATTTTACCCCCCCTTTTTTTAAAAGAAGAATCAGTGATCAAAAGGTAAAGATTTGACTGAGATCATTCATTTGGTCTTTCATTAAGCAAATGTTTGAGCAACTACTGTATGCCAGGCACTAATTTAGTCCCGTGATACAATGATGCATAAATCAGATAAGGTCTTTGCTTTCATAGAGCTTACGATCTAATAAGAGAAACAGACTACATGGAAAATGACAGATGGGGTTGCCTGGGTGGCTCAGTCAGTTAAGTGTCCAACTCTTGATCTCAGCTCAGGTCTAGATCTCAGGGTCATGAGTTCAAGCCCCGTGTTGGGCTCCACTCTGGGCGTGGAGCCTACTTAAAAAAAAAAACAAGAAGAAAAAGAAATGACAGTTGAAGAAAAACTTTATGATTGTGGCAAGTCTTGTGAAGGAAAAGGATAAGGTGAGGTGAGAAAGTGGTTAGGGGTGCCACTGCATTAGAAGGAGTTGTGAGTGAAAGAAAGCCTCTCTGAGCTAAGAAGGAGCCAGCCATGCAAAGAACAGAAGAGAGCTCTGGGCACAGGAACAACCAGGGTAAGTGAGTACCTGGAATGTTCAGAGAACAGAGCATTACCAAGAAAGAGGTGAGTGGTGTGAAAAGAGGGGAGGGAGGTAACAGAAGGTAGGTGATATTTATTGAGCTCCTACTGTGTGCGCAGCACTCTTTAAAGTGCCCTTTGTGGGCACATGGGTGGCTCAGTTGGTTAAATGACTGCCCTCAGCTCAGGTCATGATCATGGAGTGCCAGGATCAAGTCCCACATCAGGCTCCCTGCCCAGCAGGGAGTCTGCTTCTCCCTCTGACCCTCCCCCCCCCATGCTCACTCTCTCTCATTCTCTCTCTCTCAAATAAATAAATAAAATCTTAAAAAAAAAAATAAAGTGCCCTTTGTGTGTAATTCCTTCAGTCCTTACAACCCTGTGAGGTGGATTCTGTTACCCTCATTTTGTTTACCCCTTTTGGGCCACTGAGGCACCGAGAGTTCAAGTAACTTGTTCACGTTCACATAGCCCGTAACCCCAGAGCCAGAATTCAGCAGAGCCAGAGTCTTAACCAGTGTACCATATCGCTTTGACATCAGTGTCAGGAGCTCAGAGCAGAGGGAATCACAAGCAGATCACATTTGGGAATCACAAGCACTGGAAAGCATTTAATTAAAGCCATGGAACCAGAGATGCAAGAAGATAGCTCTGGATTGGGAGAGTCCAAATCATAGGACCAAGAATGGGGAGATAAAAGAGAGATGAGAAGAGTAAAGAGAGAACTGTTTTGTTTTTTTTTTTTATTTAAAGATTTTATTTATTTATTCATGAGAGACAGAGGCAGAGGGAGAAGCAGGCTCCCAAGGAGCAGGAAGCCCGATGCGGGACTCGATCCCAGAACCCTGAGATCATGACCCGAGCCGAAGGCAGACGCTTAACCATCTGAGCCACCCAGATGCCCTAAAGAGAGAACTGTTAACAAAATGGCTCAGTCATTTATGCATTTGACCATTCGTTTATCTTGGGGAAAATGTTTTTGCTGGTTCAGGGCCAGAACTGCCTGATAGGAATCCAGGTCAGTTAAGAAACAACTACTAATGCTGCGGTTTTTCTTCAAAGGTCCTATCGGGTAATCTCTGTATTTACCTTTCTGCTGATATCTTCCTCTGCTCACCATAGACTGGGTGGCTTAAACAACAGATGTTTCTCACATTTCTGGAGCCTGGAAGTCTGAGAACAGGGTGCCAGCACAGTCAGGTTCTTGGTGAGGGTCCTCCTGCTGCACCCAGAAGAGCCCCCTTTTTCTTACTGTATCCTCATATGGGGAGGGAGGTAGAGACAGAGAGGAGGAGAAATTTCCTGTCTCCTCTTTTTTTTTTTTTTTAAAGATTTTTATTTATTTATTTATTTGACAGAGAGAGAGAGACACAGCGAGGGAGGGAACACAAGCAGAGGGAGTGGGAGAGGGAGAAGCAGGCTTCCTGCTGAGCAGGGAGCCTGATGCAGGGCTCGACCCCAGGACCCTGAGATCATGACCTGAGCCGAAGGCAGACACTTAATGACTGAGCCACCCAGGTGCCCCCTTGTCTCCTCTTTTTATAAGGGCATTAATTCTATCATGAGGACCCCACCCTCAGGACCTGATCCAAACCTAATTACCTCCCAAAGGCCTCACCTCCTAAGAGCATCACATTGGGGATTGAGAGTTCCAAAATAGGAATTTTGGGGGGGATACAAACATTCAGTCCTTGGCAGCTGAGTTCTAAGAATTAACTGTTTCAGGGGCTCCTAGGTGGTTCAGTCGGTTAAGCATCTGACTTAATTTCACCTCAGGTCATGATCTCAGGGTCCTGGGATCAAGCCCTGTGTCAGGCTCTACGCTCAGCAGGGAGTCTGCTTAAGGATTTCTCTCTCTCTCCCTAAAATAAATACATAAATCTTTAAAAAAAAAAATTAGCAGTTCAGGCTTCTGTAAATACCTTGGCAGAAGGAGATGTGTTTATAATAGTTACCTGATTAAAAAATTCAGAAACAGGGGCGCCTGGCTGGCTCAGTCAGTAGAGCGTGTGACTCTTGATCTGGGGGCCATGAGTTCGAGTCCCACATTGGGCGTGGAGGTTACTTTAAAAAAACTGAAAATAAATGGTTGTTTAAATAAAAAAATTCAGAAACAGATGTTTATGGGTTATATAGCAAACAGATTTCCATTCTGAAATCATCCTGAAGAGTGCTTAGTAGATAACACATTTTATGTATTTTAAACTTGACAACATATACAGGTATGTGTGTGTCTGTGTGTTCACTCTAGGTATTACTAGGGTGCCTGGGTGGCTCAGTCGGTTAAGTATCTGCCTTTGGCTTAGGTCATGATCTTCAGGTCCTGGAATCGAGCCCCACATCGGGCTCCCTGCTCAGTGGGGAATCTGCTTCTCCCTCTCCCTCTGCCCGTCTTCCCTGCTTGGGCTCGCTCTCTCTCTTTCAAATAAATAAATAAAATCTTAAAATAAAATAAACATATATTCCTTTAGGAATAGTAATGATCCTTATCTTCTTTCCTTTGCAATCTAAACCTCCTAAGCATGTAAATTCTCAAATTTGATAAAGTTAATCAACTAACCAAATTGAAGAAAACAAACATTAGAGAAAGTCTCCCAGTCATTCCCCCCTCTAGAATTTTTTTAAGTTTATTTATTTAAATAATCTCTGCACCCAATGTGGGACTTGAACTCACAACCCCAAGATCAAGAGTCACATGCTATACCAACTGAGCCAGCCAGGTGCCCCTCCCCCTCTAGAATTCTTTTTTTTTTTTTTTTAAGATTTTTATTTATTTGCGAGAGAGAGAACAAGAGGCAGAGAGCATGAGAGGGAGGAGGGGCAGAGGGAGAAGCAGACTCCCTGCCAAGCAGGGAGCCCGATGTGGGACTCGATCCCAGGACTCCAGGATCATGACCTGAGCCGAAGGCAGTCGCTTAACCAACTGAGCCACCCAGGAGCCCTCCCCCTCTAGAATTCTAATATGTACCTTACAACAAGTAAGTTAAATTTTTCTAAAATTTTTACTTCAACTTTTAGTGGACTCCTTTTTGGCAGGGGAAGGGGTGGTTTCAACACTGAGATATTCATCCATGTTCTAATGCCTTTGTGCCTAGTATGAGCTCTGCCTAGAATCCCACCCGTCATCAGATTTGTCTGTCTTTCAGCACCATGTTTAAATGCTACTTGAACCAGAAAGGCATAACTGCCATACTTTTTGTTCCCTAGCATTTCATATGTATGATAACATTGCATATGTATTAAAGTGAGAGGTATGTTGCTCTCCTCTACTAGATCATGACCTGCAGAGGACAAGATCTAAATCTGTATCTTAATAACTAGAACAGTGGATTTTGGCCTTTTAGTATTCACAGCACCATTCCAAAACCCAAAAACCTTAGTAGCATACTGTGATTCAGAGCCTCAAAACCACACTTCATTCAACTATAATTACAAAGCAGTCACTTCCTCAGTGTGACGATTTCTCACAGTTGCCAGTAAAATCATCCAATGGTATGACACCGCACCTGGTAGCTCTTCAGCAATGTGGCCCTGTCTGAATGATTTTTGCTCTTCTGAATTCTCTCATTTATCCTAGTTTCCAGAAGACTTACATATATATTTAAGGGAGAGGAACATGGTAAAGCCAGGAGACCATCAAATTCTTGGCATTTTTATTTAAAAGTGAAGTTCTTAAAAAATAAAATCTTTAAAAAAAAAAAAGTGCAGTTCTTTACTTTCAGTGTTCCAAGATAGAAGACAATTACTTGAAATTTGGCAGAAATTTGCCAAAATGCCATTTTCCCCAAGCAATACTTCGTGTAGTCAGCTCCTTCGCCTGCATGGCTCCTGTTCCTGGCTCCCTCTGAGTGGTGCACAGCAGACTTGGTGGGTTTTGTGAGATGACCTCATGTCCAGAACCACTTACAGATTTGTTTTTTTGTTTTTTTGCTTTTAAACATTCTAAGGTAAGAAAAAGAACATCCAGTTGTTTCTTTTTATTAAGTTTTCTGACTTGCCTGAAGAGGGGCCCTATTTTATCAGGGTTAAGATGTCATCAATTATGAGATGCATTTCAATTTCTTAAATGTTATAATGTCTTTAAAAGCTCTAGAGGTCATGTCAGTTGCTCTTGAGAAACTACTTGTCAGTTTCCTGTCTGGTGTTCTTTATGTATTTACTTCCTTGAGAAGGGGCAAAACACTGCTAATTCCCAGTAACTTCTCGTTTTCCCCTACCAGTTGCTTTTCGACTCTATGACTTGGATAAAGATGACAAGATTTCCCGTGATGAGCTGTTACAGGTATGTGTGACAGCTGCCGTGCATGTGGACAACTTGTTTGGGCTCTGTCTGCTTGTCCTTTTGGGCGGGAATTGTTCTTTCAGCAAGTGTTTATTTAACACCTGCCTGTGCAGAGTACCGTTTTAGATATAAGGCAGAGCCGGATGACCCTGCGGGAACGTGAAATGGCTCATTGAGTTCTCAAAGACAGATGTCTCTGCTATTTAAAAGCCAGTTTAATGTCTTTTAGGTGCTGACTGGCAGAGCTAAACTATGCAAGATGGTCTAAGTCAGATAGTTCCATTATTGTTATATCAGCTTATTGATATCCAGTATATTCTGATGACACTTAGGTGAATGCTGCTGTCCCGCCTGTCCTTGGGCTTGATGTAGGAGTCATGGAACTCTTGCTGGGCCGGTGTACAGAGCCAAGTGCTCACTGTCCTTTGTTGCTCCTGAGGACAATTCCCTGTCCTCCTACTAGCAGTGACTAGCATTTCATCCTCTTAGCATTGCCTTCCTCTTGTCTTCCTCACTTCCTTAAATACAAGTTCAGAGGGGAGAAAGTTCTCCTTTTTTCTTTTCTTTAATATTTATGATTCTGGAGGACTCTAGGAAGCTAATACATTCAGGACTTTCTGGGGGAGATTTGTCTATTTCAAGATAACACCTAAAAAGTAAAGTAGGGGGCACCTGGGTGGCTCAGTCGTTAAGCGTCTGCCTTTGGCTCAGTTCATGATCCCAGGGTCCTGGGATCGAGCCCCGCGTGGGGCTCCCTGCTCCACGGGAAGCCTGCTTCTCCCTCTCCCACTCCCCCTACTTGTGCTCCCTCTCTCTCTTTTTCTCTCTCAAATAAATAAATCTTAAAAAAAAAGAGGTAGTAATAATAAAAGTCCTATTTGCTAATGAACTTCCAACTGGAACCCTGAGTGGCTCTGTGGAGTGCTGACTGGGCACAGAGGCGTGGCAGACAGTGAGGGCCACTGGTTGCTGGGACCTGGATCAAGCCACTTCTAGACCCTCTTGTCCTCGTTAACAGACTGGATGAGTGATTCTTCAGACAACACCACTCCTCTCCCCACAGAGCACACGTGCTCAATATGGTTCTCTAATTCTAAAAATAAAACACTTCAGAGAATAATTGGACTGAGATCAGAAGAAGCTGCTATTTGAGGATGGACTTGTCTAGTCAATCACACACAATCAAGGAAGATGGCAAATGGCTTGGCCATTCAGTATTTTTGCCAGGGTTGCCTCTTTTTAAATTTTTCTTGTTTTGAGAGAGAGAGAGTGGGGGGGAGGGGCAGAAGGAGAGGGAGAGAGAGAATCTCAAGCAGACTCCATGCTGATCACAGAGCCCGAGGTGGATCTCCATCTCACAACCTTGAGATCATGACCTGAGCCGAAACCAAGAGTCAGACGCTTAACCAACTGTGCCATCCACACACCCCAAGATTGTCTCTTTTTATTAATCCTTCCATTTGCCTATCTTTGTACCCCTAAATGTACAACTTTCAATTTTCAAGAATCAATTTGTAAAAAGAAATAACCAGTATTGATGCAAATCAGTATTTCAGGTCTTTTTTTCTTTTCAGAAAATCCTGTAATTTACTTTTTAAAAATCTATGTCAAGAGGATCGAGTCCCGCATCGGGCTCCCTGCTCAGCAGGGAGCCTGCTTCTGCCTCTGACCCTCCCCCCTCTCATGTGTTCTCTCTCTCTCATTCTCTCTGTCTCAAATAAATAAAAAAAAAAAATCTTTAAAAATCTATGTCAAGAGGATCGAGTCCCGCATCGGGCTCCCTGCTCAGCAGGGAGCCTGCTTCTGCCTCTGACCCTCCCCCCTCTCATGTGTTCTCTCTCTCTCATTCTCTCTGTCTCAAATAAATAAAAAAAAAAAATCTTTAAAAATCTATGTCAAGAGATTGGAGAAGGATGTAAAGGAGTGGGGCCTGTGAGCTGCTGGGCCAAAAGGTCTTTCTCTCCTATGGAAGAGCTCAGCTCTTACCTCTGAAGACAGAGGTGGCTGACTACAGTGATGTGAGGCATCACAAAAGCACCCTGGCCCCCATTTCATACTAACAGTCATATCACTACAGTTGCTTATTTTGCTTAAAGTAATAATTTTCAAAATATATTTACACCCTAAAGATGTTAGCAGAATTGGGGGGAGGAGTTTTTTGTTATGTGTGAAGCAAATTTGGTGAAACAGTGTTAAATTCTCTTGACTATAGTCCGTTAAATGTGCTTATTTTTCTAAAAAGAAGGGTTTAGTATTTAAACCTTCAGAGATCTTTATGTTTCTTGGCTGTCATTTAGGAATAGCTGGGTTAATGCACTGCTTCAGAGAGGACTGCATTCATGTGGGATTCCTAGAAAGCCCTACCAAACTGACTTAAACCAATAAGAAACTAGTTTGCCTCATGCAACAAGAAGTCTGGGGATAGATTATCTGGGTTGATACAGAACCTACGTGATGTCCAGGAACCAGGCTTCTGTATTCTTGCTCTGGCATGCCTAACACAGAGGACTTTCGTCCCACAGTCCCTGGGATGGCTGCTTTACCACCAAAGCATCATATCTGTGTTCCAGACAAAAAGAATGGGAAGAGCATTAATCTCAGGAAACAAACTGAGGGTTGCTGGAGTGGTGGGGGGTGGGTGGGATGGGGTGGCTGG